CTTGCTTAGTTCTCGAGATCTCAGGGGGGGGGGGGGGGCGGTCATCCGCCCCCCGTCGGTACGAAGTTGGCGCAGACCCCCGTCGGTGCGCGGGTTAACGTGGGGGGGGGGATGAACGTATTGTTGCAATACGCTGTTCATTACGCGAGTAACTAATAAATAAAAAATGTATGAGTTCATCCTTACTTCACCCGCTCTCCCTCTCCATAAAAAGAGAGTTAAAGGTAGTGTGCCAGCTTTCCTGGACCGTATGGAGTTAATGGCCCAGATAAGGAGAACCGGATTTTTAGAACTTATCCATACCTTCAAAACTCATGGAAACGTCTTAAATTCTTCAAATTTTGAGTACCCCAGTGCGAAATTCGCCCCGACGGGTTGTCGGTCGTACCCCAACCACATTTCACACCACTATGAACAATAAATGCACACACTGAAATCGCTATTACCGATAGGCTCATCCAATCAAGTTTCGATAAACCCGTTCATCATCATCTCCTGCGGTTTCGAACACGCCTATTAGGTGGTGCGGTAGACCGCGCCCAAAGCCAGGGCCCCGGTAACGTGAGGTAGCCGAGTCGGGGCAGCGTGCGCTGACCCAAGCCGGGGCCGCGCGTCCTCCCGGTGTCATGTGATAGCCCGGGGCTGCCCGCGGGGATGCGGTAGACCGCGCCCAAAGCCGCGGCCCCGGCTTGGGTCAGCGCACGCTGCCCCGACTCGGCTACCTCACGTTACCGGGGCCCTGGCTTTGGGCGCGGCTTCTGCTCATACTTTGTGGTGCGGTGGTGGTGCGTCGGGAAGCGCGCTCTGACTTCGGCCAAGAAAAATGCGTCAGCTGATCATTATCATTTCTGCCACTTGCGTGTGGTGAAATGGGGTCATAACTTAACCCGGCACCGCCTGGGCTATTTCCGTACCCACGACAGCCTGGGGGGGGGGGGTCGGATCCGACCCCCCCCCCCCCTGTTATCTCGAGAACCAATGGTCGCATCGAGCCCCGCGAGGCGGCGTTCGAAAGGTCTCTACGAGACCTTCCCAAAGCATTCTTAAGATTTTAAGATTGAGGTCAACTTTCGGGTCAAGGTCAGGTCAAAGGTCAAATTCTGGAGTTTTGCATGATTAGGCTTACGGACAGCGGAATCGATAGCTGCTGCTCGAAACTCACCAAAAATGACCTCAAAGGCCTAGCAAAGGTACCATGTGCGTATAGGGGTCATACTAAGCACGGGTCAAGGTCAGGTCAGGTCACGAAAGGTCACGGTTTTCACTTTCTGCTACATGGGCGTGCGACACATGTTTTATGGCTTATTTTTCACGCCGAATCCGATGGTAATGGTTATATGTGACCCCAAGTCACTGTGCTGGTGATAAGTGTGCATTGAGAGCATAAAAAATCGTTTATACCATACATAACTAAACGAGGGCTGAGAAAAAAGGTCAATTTTTCAACTTTTTATTTTTGACATCAAAATGCACTTTTCTAGACGAGCTTTGTCCAAGGAATCTAGTGGTGCCATTTGTTTTCACATGCGATGTTCAGAAGTGCCTCTAATTCACGAAAATGCTTATGACGTCACCATGCCCTATGCATGTTGGAGCTATTTTTTACAATTTGGGGGTCAAAAATCGAGATAGAAAGTTGAAATTTGGGACATCTAATGTTCTAATAGAGCTCTATAACATATATTCCGGTTTTTTGGAAATTCTCAAAATTTTGGATTTTATTAGCTGTTTTCCAAAAAATGTAGTTTTTTGAATTTTTAGGGGTTAAAAACGCATTTTATGGAAAATCCGAGATAGCCATTTTAAAGAACTCGTTGAGCTGCGTCTCTTCATGTCCTTAACTTGTAATTTGCTTTAAACCCTGATTTGTGGCGATTTTTTAAACATTTACCACTTTTTGACTAAAAACGCCATGTAGTTACATCACTAAAATCGATATATCTAAAAAAAATATCGGAAATTTTTTCTTAAAAATTACACAGGAGACGTCAAATTGATGGGGGAGAAGGTATGCCAAGTTTCAAGTTGACAGCGTAAGCGGTTCTTGAGTTATTCAAGAAAAACGGAGGGGGGGGGGGGGGTCGGATCCGACCCCCCCCCCCCAGGCGGTCGCGGGTTAAGAGACGGCTTTTTCATATTAATTATTTTACATAAAATCATATTTCAAACCATAAATAATGTTCGACAGCCAAATAAAAGAAACAATACCAATACAGGCTTACAGTTTAAGGTTAGACATTGTGTTGTCTACGATCAGACAGCTGATAACTCATTCCCGTACATCGTAACTCTATAATGACCTTTGCTTATTGTCACATGTGCGCCGCATTCGCGATTGTTGCCGACGCCTGTTTGCAGGTCAGCCCACTACAGTTGTTATACATATCGAAAAACCGATAAACTTTTAGGCGAAAAAGGCACTATTCCAGGCCCATTTTTGATTTTTTTTTTTGCTATATTAGGTAAAAACAGAAGCTTCTTATCCTAGGAAAAATAAAATGGGAAATCATTGGAAGGTGGCACACTACCTTAAATTGTGTTGCATTTTATTTATATGCAGAAAAATAGTGGCGTCAAAGGATATGGCCGAATATCAGCGACCCTTGCTGTGTAAGCAATGGGGCTTGCAATGGGGTATGACAAGTGGGGGTAATGGCTTCGTCCAGCGCCCATAAAGTGGGCACCACTCGTGCGACCTGCCGACCACTGTTCTAGAGCCATAAAACACCGTGAATGTTTTAACCCTCGCATGTGTAGGGGGGTCGGATGGACCCCCCCCCCCATGGTTTTTCGCGAATAACTCGCGAAAAAAGCAGCCTATCGCGACAAAACTTTCAGTACCCTCGCATTGATCAATTTTACATCTACCCTGAAAATTTCAAGACCCTGATCCCAATGACCTTTGACCTGTGACCTCTTTTCCGAGACCATGTTTGGCCGAAATCGCGATTCCGCGTATGTCGACTCGCATTAGCCGCGCGTTTGCAAGCTTTTCGTGGTTTCAAACGTTCAAACATGTGATTTGATGTTGCTCCCATGCATAAGGGAGGGTGTCAAGGTCACCTGAAGGTAAGGTCAGGGCATTGACCTTTGGTTGCTAAATTCAATGCCAAGTGCCGCCCCTATGAGTGCAAAGGTCAGGTCAGGCATTGACCTTTGGTGACCTCGGTTCACTTTTTCGAGTTTTACATGTTTCTAGGCTAGTTTTTGGAGCTGAATTCGAATTTAGCAACCATTTGAACATTTACGAAGTAGTTTTGGTGACTTCGTAACATGTTACGAAGCTGTCAGAGGCGGTTGACACGTACTACGAATACCCGTCACGACCCCTATTGGTTGACCTGACCTGACCTGACCCAACCTGGTCTAAATGCTTAAAGACATCATCTGTGATCAAAACTAACACGATATTCGTGATCAGCACCCCGAAAAACCCCTTAGCAGCCACTTTTTACGACTTTCTAACAGGTCCCGATTTTCCCGACTTTGGGTCATTGACCTGACCTGGAAGTTCAACCAATGACCTAGGACCTTAAAGTTGGGTATCATCGGCTTCTTCTCGTCACGGGCAACACGCTCGTTTTTTCCGCGAAGCTCTAGCTCGATCAGGGGCCAAACGGCAGGGGGGGGTCCAACCGACCCCCCCCCCCCCCTTCACATTAGAAGCTGGCAAACGCCGCACACATGCGAGGGTTAAGCTTGACGATACGGATCGACTGGTATGCAACATGTTTTATTTCTGGTGAGGTCATGAACTTGACCTCAGGTAAAATTTTTAGATTAATTTTTGTAAAGTCAAATTAGCCTATAACATTTATCGCATTATGGCGAGAGAAATACTACATATATTATCCCGGAAAAATAAACGTTATACCGCTGAGCTTAGGTTGAATCTGAAATCATTACTTAGAAAGAGTTATAAAAGAACCGTCGAACGTGTCTTTTTTGGTCCTTAAATACCAGTAGGTATGCCGCCCCCCTCAGATGCCAAGTGCCGCCCCTATGAGTGCAAAATGCCGCCCCTAATTGTGATTGCCGACCCAGTGAAAATCCCTTAAAATACGCCCTGGTCGAGACTCTCAGTGTCGAAGTCGAAATTCGCAGCCGTTTCTGAGTTATCTCCGAAAAAACCACAGGGGGCCTTTTGCCCCCCCCCCCCCTCCCCACAACGGGTCGCGGGTTTATCCAAACTCACTCTCAACTGAATTCACTATTATCACGGTGACAACTCCCCATTAGACTTCAATTGTCTTTATACGACTACATTAACTCAACTTTCACGGTATTGAAAAATCATGATATAAGTCAACCTTGCATTTCATTTTCACTGTAATCAGCCCCCAGCTCGCTTGGTACATATTCGCATCACCCACCTTCAGCAGTTCCCTGAAGTACGGACTGCAGGCAGACAGCATCATCCTGTGGGCCCGGACACGCTGTCCCTCACAGCAGAGCGTGACGTCCAGCAGCTCTCCTCCAGAGCGGAGCTGGTCAAACACGGACGTGACGCTGCCCTGGAACCCATCCCACTTGAGACAGAACTTCTGAGAGTCCATCCTGGAGGGCTGAAGATCAGGGGCAAGACAGAAATTGGTTAGTTCATGAGAGATGGTTTGCTGAATAAGGGAGAAACATATGAACGTGAGAAGTGAAAAGAGCTGTGGAATATGGAATAAGACAGAGCATTGGAACCTCGAGGAGGGGAAAGGGGTAGGGGAGAGGATGGGTAAGGGAGGGGATGGGTAAGGGGGAGGAGAAGCAAACGATAACTTTCACGTGCTTAGAAACTATTATACACACCTAAGCCAAAACCTTTGTACACTGGGAAAAGACTTTCCACCCTGCACTGTAGCAAATTAGTCAGTGAAGCGATGGGGTTGTTGTCTTATGATAAAGTGCAAAAAATCAACAATAAAAATACTGCAAGTATGCAGATGTCATATCATTTCCCAAGGCACAAGTAAGGCAGTAAGTACTGCGTTCTTGCCTTACGTGTTTTGTAGAAATTCCTTTGCAAAACACTAAAAACCAGCCACTCTACCTCCCCCTCTCCTACCGGCTCCTCCCCTCCCCCCGCCACGCGTTGGACACTGGGCCGGGCTGGGCGGCGGGTCAGGCGACCGGTCAGCTGACCTGCCCCCGGGCGATAACCACGTGACTGGCGTCCGCCCGCAGCCGCCCGCCTGAGCCACGGAGAGGGCAGTCGCTGTCTGTTACCGGTTGGAGCCATATGTGTTCACGACTGATTTTTGCCTGAATTCACCTATTACAAATATACTCATCAAGAGATACCTACCTACGAGAACATCGAGAGATCCTACGCGGTTCGTCCCGGCAAACCTACGCGGGGAAGTACCAGTGAGACCGACCAAATCACAGGACCGACGACTTCGAGACAAGACCTACGTCAAGGTAAGCCCGGCCTGTGTCTGTGGCGGTCCAACTTTCCCCTCGAATTCTCATCCCTACATCATTACCCTGTCAAAACCAACGTCAAAGAATAATTTTCTGTGTGCCCCTCGTACAAATCCGTACAGTTTTTCTATTGCAAATTCCTGCATTTCCTAGGATGTGCTATAGGCTTGTGTCTCTTTACTGTAACTCCATCTCACAACTTCTGGCACCACTGGCTCACATTGTCTATGACAATTGAAAACATTGTCTCTTTATTCTTGCGATTACAATGTCTGGAATCAACATAATTGGGTTTAACGTTGAGCCATGGATGAAGTAGGGTAACCTGGGGCAAGACGCCCCAGATAATTTATTTTGCTACATAACTTTTGTCCCACATAACCTGGAAGGCCAAATTTGTGCTCAATGCGTTCTTTGGACATTTTACTTTAAATTCCACCCCTCAAATTCATTCACTTATGATCGGACTCCCAGCTAGGAAGTGGTTTGTGAGGCAACTGCAAATAGGGCGTTTTGCCCCAACCCCAGGGCAAAACGCCCCACGGCCTGGGGCAAGAAGCCCCATACTCTAGATTAAAGATTAAACATGCTAGCTGAGTAAATCTTATATGAAAGGTCCGTTAGACCTTGGGAGGCCTGGCACTGAAGTTAGCACCTTGCATCCTATCAGGTGTTCAGCTACGACACTATTGTATGAGCAGGTTTTTCACCTGCCTCATAAGGCCAAATAATATATTATTGCAATGGAAATGTTAACAAAATACTTCCTTTGCCATCCAGTTGCTGAGAAAAGTACATATAAATGCATAGAAACATACAGTTCGCCAGCTACCGAACATTAGGAAGTGGGTATTCCGAACAACACATGAGGTAAAACGCCCCATGGGGCTTTTTGCCCCGCGACCCACTGGGGCGTTTTACCCCATCACGTAGTTCGGTCAGAGAACAACGCCTTGCACTCCAGGAAGACATAATTTAACACGAACCAACCCGGCATTATAAGCGTTAGACAATAGTTGTTCAAAGTACATAAAAGTCGTTAACCTGATGTGGACGATAAAAGAACGCCATGATGCATAATCTGACAACAAAACATAAAAATCACTCCAAAAACACATTTTTGGCTATATCTCCCTAAAGAGTCATCACAATTTATTTCCAGAGCCCTGTTCGGGCAGCGCATCCTATTGTAAAATTTTGCACCACGCATGCGCAGTTGGGGTCTCTCGGGTGCCAAGCTCCGGGCCCTGTTTCAAGGCGGAGCGCTGCAGCGCGCTGCGCGCGTCGGCGCGTTGGGTTTCCATGGCAATATCAACAAACTTCCCTCTGACGCTACGCTATGACGTCATCGCAAAACGCTAGCACCCAAGCGCCAGCACCATCAGCACGCTAGCAGCATTCGCACTCAAACCTCTGTTCTCTCTGTACTTGATTCTTTAGGACCTCTGTTCCAAACGCGATTCATTATAAGCTAACGGATCGCACGCAACGTCATTCAAGTGACGTCAGGGGCACGCCTCAGCTCCCAGCGCGCTGCAGCGCGCGCAGCGTCGGGCGGTGAAACAGGGCCCCGCCCTTCGGCGTATGACGTCACACGTGTGACGTAGGCTCGCGCAAAATCTTTCAGTTTTGCGCAAGAAGAAAATAGTAGCTGCAGGAGGCGAAAGTGGCGCGGATTAAAGTTTACCCTCATATATTTCTTATTGGAAGTGGTTAGTATGGTGTTGTTTTGGTATCATTATCTTTCTTTTCAGTGGCACATTGCTATTAACCACATTTGAACGCATTTTACTTAGTAACTGAACGAAACACACCAGTCCATCCGCGCCACGGTTCGCCGCGTGTCGCGTGGCCCTCGGCTTTGCGAACCGGCGGAGAGGGGGCGGAGCATGGCGGAGCCAGGCGGCTGACGTCATCGCATGTGTGACTTCACACTCAGCAAAATATTTTGCGCGGACCCGAACAGGGCTCAGTCTGCTCATATAATGATCGTATAGTGCACGTTTTATAGAAGAGGGAATGTTTCCCCAGAACCTTGCCAGTTCCGAGAAACATCGGTGAGGCGTTTTACCTCGGCGGGGCGACTTGCCCCGGTCTACCCTATTCCTGGACAGGACACTCCCTATTCCCCAACACTAGCGCCGGCGACCAAGCGGCCCCCCTGGTGGTGGAGCTCCGAAACATCGGCGGCGAGTGCGCCGGCGGCCGCCGCACCGGCTTGCGTGCTAAAAACGCGGTAATGGAGAGCGAAATTAGCGAGCTTTAGCTCATAAGACACGATTTCAGATTCTTCACACATATTTTAAGTCCTTTCTTATGATTATTATGGCTCCATTTAGTCTCTATCACATACGGAATCATTACCTGATGCCCATAAACTGAGCCGGTATTCTTGACTTGCCGATGCAATTTATCATCAAATATCATCGTTCCTCGGCAGTCAAACAAGTCCCTATTGATGATTTAATATAAATATCAACTTATTTTCATGTTATCACATAAAACTTCACTTTATTCTAACATTGGCTCTTCGGCTGTAATCACGAACCCTCACTTGTCAGCAGAATTTAAGCAACTTCTTAAATCAGAACTGGTAAAAGAATATTTTCAAGACATTCCTCAGTTCCTGTTCTACCAGGCTCACACAAATTTTCATTAAAATCAGTTACAGGTAAGTAATAAACGACAAAAGTATACAAAAAGACACGCTCCGCCCATAGCACGCAATGCTAAAATGGCGCCAGCGCCCTCGCCGTCGGGAAATCAGCCGCCGCCGCCGGGTGGTCGGAAAATCGGCGGAGTGTCCCATCCAGGAATACCTAATCCATGGTTGAGCATTTCTAGTCATCAACCACAAATAACACAAAGACTTCCTTCAGGCATCCCAGCTCCTCTCATTCATCGCTGTCGCATGAAATATGGTATAGGTATGTGAAGATGAAGTCCAGACTCCGGACAACTCTTTGATGGAAATGATGCTTACATCACATGTCTTGTCAAGACAACATAAACACCACAACACCAACCAATCACACCTCAGTTCCGCGCTGACCTTCGGGGCGGCCGGTCGCGCTCGCGGTGCTCCCCGCCGGTCAAAACAGCCGTGACCCGCGGCCGCCGCGGCGGGGCAGTGACAGGGCAGCGAGCCTGGCCCACAGCGCTGGTGAGCGCAGGAACTTTTTAGTGTTTAATTGCGGCAACTAAAATGCTGAGGTCCGAGTGAGATTTAGCGCGGATCCTGTGGCCGTGACTGATAATTTGAAGCGATCCGTGGCGCAGTGAGACAAGTGCAGTGCCGAGATGTCTCAGCAGCCAGAAAGAGATGGTGCCGACGCTGGGACGGATAGACGTCCGCTGGGCAAGCAATCGTCCGTCAGCGACTTAGTGCGGTCCTATGACGGAGGACGAGCCGCCGAGGACGGGCAAGGAAAGAGGGACCGATCGGAGTCGGGAGATACCTCAACCCAGCCCCGAGCCCGGAAACGCGGCGCACCCGACAAACCTGGTGAGAGAATTTCTCCTCCTCCTAGGCTGTCGGGGGAGTTCCGGGCACGGCTAGATGACGCCATGGACGACATGGAGACCCATTTGACGTCCCTGCTATCGAGAGAGCTCCACGAGTTCAAGGAAAACATAAGTTCCCAGTTCGAGGCGTTGGAGCGGCGCATTTATGACCTGGAGCAGCACGTTGAAGCCAAGGATAATCAAATGGACGAGATGGCCAAGCAGCTGCAGGAGGCGAAGGAAGAAGTGGAGGCGCTGCGAGGACGGGCCGAGGACGCCGAACTGGTTTCTCGTCTCCCATGTCTGGTGCTGTCCGGTGCGGCGATGGCCCCTCGGCGCGGCGCGCCCCTGGCGGCCTCGGCGCCGGTGCCCGAGCCGGCGGACGCCGGTGCCGCGGGCCGTGATCGGGCCGGGCCGCCGCCGCCCCCATCCGCGAGCGGTTACATCGATGGAGCACCGGGCGGCGAGCGGGGGCGGCGTGATAATGGCGACTCTCGAAAGGGAGAAAGAGAGGACGTCAACAGCCTGGTGGTGAACACCCTGAACCGTTGCTTCCCGGATCTCCGCATTGAGGTACGGGACATTGACCGCGCACACAGGCTGCCGGGGCCTAATAATCGTGTCATTGTGCGATTCGTTAGATCCGGGCCCGGTAGCATTCGTGACATGATCATGTGGCGCAGGCTTGAACTGAAAGGGAAAGACTTGTTTGTCAGTGAAGGTCTGACTGCCCTGCGGGGAAAGATTTTCCGTAGTTTACTGGATGCCAAGAAAAAGGGCACCTCCCTTTCTTTGGTCGGTCAGCTCGTCTTCCGTTGGACGTCGTTTGTCATGCTGACAAATGTCCAGCAGCGCCAGTAGCGTGCGGTGTCGATCAGAACCAGATTCGAGAGAAGGTGGGCAAAGCAATCCAAGAGGCAGCAGCTTTGAGGGCAGCGAGTCGGACCGATCAGGTCAACCAGTTGACTTACCAGGTGGGTGATTTCATTTGGGTCCACAAACCGGTTAGGACTGTCGGAAGGTCCCCCAAGCTGCAGCGGCCATGGTCAGGCCCGTTCGTGGTCATGGAGATCTTGTCTCCCCAGTCCTATCGCGTGAAAGAAGAGGGCAGCCGGAAGTCGTTTGTTATTCATCATGACCGTATGAAGCCATGCACGTGTAGGGAAGATGACGGCTACGTGGTCTTGGCACAGTCGCCGGAGATCCCTCACGATGCCTCCACTGGTGGTGCTGGGCATTTACCGTTGTCAGATGGTGAGCCTGAGGTCCCTGGCGCCAGAGTTGGCCTACGTTACGTTATTTTGAAGTTTTCGGTAACCCGTAGCTGTCAGTTCCGTTTCGTAGCGTAATTGGGATGTTTCGGTAGCGTAGTACGGAAAATAATAGAATAACGTAGGAACTACGGAATGGATTCCGTAGCAATTACAGGTCAGCTGTATTTGTATAAGGTACATCATTTTTTTCAGTTTACTCATATCGTCACCAGACCTCCGGCCGTTTACACGGATGTGAGACGCCTGCTGTATGAATACCACTGAGTCTTTCTTCCGGCCGGACCGACACCGGGGATTTCCCACTGGGGAGTCCCAGGGAATTCCCTGTCGGAAGTCCAGCGCATCTAGCGAGTAGCGCGTAGGCACCGCCGCACCGACGATGCTGCAAAGCCGGCGATCATTGTGCGCAGTATTTGGCTTACTAGAGACTAACCGTTTCCACTGGGTAGTGGATGATGACATATTGCATAACGTAGTACGATAAAATAATTTGCTGCGTTAATTAACAAATACCGTAATTCAGTAACGTAGCAATATATAACGTATCGTAATTCGGTATCGTAGTTTTGGCTAAAAAAGCAAACGTAGCGTAACGTAGTGCGTAACGTAGCGTAGCGCAGGCCAACTCTGCCTGGCGCTCAGTCGGATTCGGATGGTGAGATCCCTGGCGCTCGGTCGGATACCGGTGCCACGCGTGCGCGTCCATCGGGGGCTGGATCGGCGCATGATAGCGACTTGGAGTTGACTGTCCCACAGTTGACTGTGATGGGTTCTGTGCCCTCAACTGCAGTCGGGGTGCCTGAAGACTCGACTGACGGTCGTGTTCAGGCTCTTGTGGACGCTGGGCGGACGGAGCTTCCTCGAGATGACGAAGGGACCGGTGGTTCGTCGCCTGTGACTGGAGCCACGCCGGCAGCTAGATGCGGGGGGTCTGATCACGACGAGCCCGGGTTAGCGTTGATTGGGGAGGGGGCTGTGGTTAGGCGCGGAGAGGATAGTAGAGACGCTGCGGAGACTCAACCGGGGGAAGCTGAATCTGTGCCCGAAGCTGTAGGAGAGGGTGGAGGGACTGATTCTCACTCATCGGTGAGCGAATCCCGTCCCGTTACTGATGTACCAAGGAGGGGTGCAAGGAGCAGGGCTTGTCCAGACCGGTTTGGAGAATGGATTTATTTCTGATTTTGGCGTGTTTGCTAGTGTTAAGTGTCCCAGTGTCTGATGTGAGAATGATGGGCCCGCGATTGTTTGCATAGCACAGGCCTTGAGCCGATGGCTGTGGGACGTTATCCTTATGCGTTTAGGATGTGCCACGCTCGTGGAGCGGGGGTTGGCGCGTGCACTGTGTTCACCCCGTCAATATGCCTTGCCTTTGCTGCGGGGAGAAATGTGATAATGGATTCCTGGCTGCATGGAATGTGGATGGTTTGTGCTGTGTGCCTGGGTATGCTCTGGTGGGATTGGGCCTCTGCATGGCGCTGCATGTGACGAGCGCTTGTGCATGTCTGCAACTACTGATTTGGGGTCCCTGTTTCCAGGATAGCTTGAGCGTGCTGGGCTGCTAAGTAAGTACAGTTATACAACTCTAAATACAACTCGGTAATTACTGGGGCGATTTCGCTGAAACTTGGCATACAGGTAGGCACCCACCAGGCAATGCATTCCCATGTGTTGCGGTTAAGGTGCTACTGCACGTGCGCACGTGCAGGGGGCGCTTACAGATCTCGAGAACGGCTGGGCCGATTGCGCTCAAATTTGGTACACGGTTGGGGACCAGTTAGTAGGGTGCCGTGCAAAAGTCAGTTTGGACCCCGTTTGCACGTGCGCACGTGCAGAATGCCGCTTCCAGATCTCAGGAACGGCTGGGCCGATTGCGTTCAAATTTGGTACACCGCTAGCGACCGGGTAGAAGGGTGCTTTGCGCAAGCCCGTTGGAAGTACCTTCTCGCCCTTCCGCACGTGCAGCCTGCAGGGCTCACTATCTCGCTCGCTCGTTCTTCGCCCAAAAGGCGTTTTACTGGTTTTATGAATTGGTTTGTTAGACATAGTTTCAAAAATTCAGTGTTTATCTTGGTTGTATGGATCGGATAGCGTAGCTCCAAAAGGTCTAGGCACGTCCTTTTTCGTAACCACTGAAGTGGCTAATATCCACCATTATTAGTTGTAACCACCACCATTATCAGTTGTAACCGCCACCATTTCTGCTGTAATCACCACTGTTCTTGCACTAACCAGTAACCACCCCTATCTGTATTCCCCAGATGCGGCGAGGAGGATTTCCACGGCCTCCACAGCGTGCTGTCCATTCTCGGCTACCTCCTCAAAGCGCCAGCTGTGCCCCCCGGCGCCCCCGTTATAAACGCTCTCTCCAAGCAGCGTGCTGCCATCGAGAACATTCTACGCGCGTGCGTAGGTCTACAGCCAGTTAGTGACATAGGCTTGGAGTTTAAACTCCCTGAGAGTTATCGTGAAGCGTGGCGAAAGCGTGGAGTGGCCACGGAGGTGGCGGGTGGTCACGTGACCGGCGACCGAGTCGTGAAGCAAATGACGTCAGAAGGGGTGCAGAATGGTACTGGAAATGTTCAGGGCATGAATGGACGTGGCTAGATGGAGGAGTGTAGATTTGTCACGTGACCAGAACGTGACTGAGCGAGAAATGAACCGAGGCAGTGCTGATTGGGCACGTGACCGCCGAGAAAAGCCTTAGGGGCTGCGCCGGTGTTATGGTGAGACTAGTGCTAGGTTCCACTATAGGCTAATAGGTGGCGCTGATGTAGTTACAGGTGTCGCTAGGGATGTGTAATTGTACTGAGAATATCGGTTTACCTGCGGACCACCCTGTATGATAAACAACATCGAATACACATAAAACGCTACTACCTCTTCAAACACTCTTCCAACAAAGTATTACCTATACTTTGTCTCTATATGTATACTAAAAGCTGGTTTAACCCTCGCATGTGTAGGGGGGGGGGGGGTTGAATGGACCCCCCCCCCCATGGTTTTTCGCGAATAACTCGCGTAACAAGCGGCCGATTGCGACGAAACTTTCAGTAGCCTCACATTGATCAATTTTACACCTACCCTGAAAATTTCATGACCCTGATCCAAATGACTTTTGACCTGTGACCTCTTTTCCGAGACCATGTTTGGCCGGAATCGCGATTCTGCGTATGTCGGCTCGCATTAGCCGCGCGTTTGCAAGCTTTTTGTGGTTTCAAACGTTCAAACATGTGATTTGATGTTGCTTCCATGCATTAGGGTGGGTGTCAAGGTCACCTGAAGGTCAGGTCAGGTCATTGACCTTTGGTGACCTCGGGTGACCTCGGCTCACTTTTTCGAGCTGTACATGTTTCTAGGCTAGTTTTTGGAGCTGAATTCGAATTTAGCAACCATTTGAACATTTACGAAGTGGTTGTGGTGCCTTCGTAACATGTTACGAAGCTGTCAGAGGCGGTTGACACGTACTACGAATACCCGTCACGACGCCTACTGGTTGACCTGACCTGACCTGACCCGACCTGGTCTAAATGCTTAAAGACATCATCCGTGATCAAAACTAACACGATATTCGTGATCAGCACCCCGAAAAACCCCTTAGCAGCCACACTTATCGACTTTCTAACAGGTCCCGATTTTCCCGACTTTGGGTCATTGACCTGACCTGGAATGTCAACCAATGACCTAGGACCTTAAAATTGGGTATCATCGGCTTCCTCTCGTCACGGGCAACACGCTCGTTTTTTCCGCTAAGCTCTAGCTCGATCAGGGGCCAAACGGCAAGGGGGGGGTCCAACCGACCCCCCCCCCCCTACACATTAGAAGCTGGCAAACGCCGCACACATGCGAGGGTTAAACTAGAATTGTTTCCCGTCGCTTTCACAAATGTTCAGTGAGCCAGGATGGGTAGCCAGTAGCCACATTCGATCATTCAATAAGTGTTAAATGGCAAAAGACCCTGCTCAAACAAAAAATGTATTAGCGGGCAAACATAAGAGGTGAATGCACATCTACACGCGACGCAACAAGCACACTTGAAAGTTGAATAGTTTTCTACTTATCATTTCTATAGGTTGAACAATCGTTGACAAAATACAAATATTTGCACGTCGATAGCTGACTTTAAGGTCGTTGTAGCCCTAGAAGCTACACCATGATAATTCATAGCACCAGCGTCTTTTGACAACAGATTAACAATATTTTGAACAGTGTCGTAAATTGGTAGGGAGGCCAAGACGCATGATGCATCTTCCAACCCACAACATTATCATATGGCGCACCGAATGCTATACTGTCAGTTTCGTCTGTGTCATAGCATGGTCTAGTGCCTGAGAGCTTAGCGATCATGTTGCTAACAAGTAATGGACATCTCAGACCAAGAACACACAGAAAACCCAGGACATAGTGGCCTGTTAGAATGACCAGGCCTTATCTAGCAGCTAACTATGTAGAATTTTTCATCTAACTAGATAGTAATTAGTGATCGTTATGCACTCTAACCGCTAGGAAGTGGAAATATTAGGGGAGAGTGGGGAAAGATGCCCAGGGTTTTGCTATGCCATATATTATTCGAAAATGACGATGGGAAAGCAAAAACTTGGAGTTTCAACGCAAGCCGACATCATTTTTCTGGAAAAATATCACACTTTCGTGCCTGACATATGACAACGCTTTTTTTGCTATCAAGCATTTTCCTGAAGAAGTGAAAGGGGGCATCTTACCCCACAGGATGGGAAAGACGCCCCCTGGTGTTGGGGAAGATGCCCCCTGCACTATAAGTGACAAAAATGGGCACGTGAATCGCCTGAATGATTCAGTAGTCCCTTCGAGCCTGCAGTAGACACCAAACGTCATCATAAGGGCCCTCAAAAGTAGTCGTAAGGGGCTTCAGAGGTCATCGTTAGGGCCATCATAGTCCAGCGCGGCCAAACATGAAACAAGCCTCCGTGGTGGCGTTCGGAGACCACTGTGGGGCTCTTATAGGTCTCCATGATGCTTGAGGGCCCTCGAGCCCATCGTGGGAACCTCAGATGCCAGCGTGGCCCGTGGAGCCAACGTGGGAGCCCTCAAAGGATGTCGTGAGGGGCCCTGGAGCCAATAATGGGGCCCACAGAGGCCGTCGTGAGGGCTCTCAGAGTCAGATGCCGCCCAAAAAGTCGCTGTGTGGGCCGAGAGACCGGCATGGGGAGCACCCGACCGTACTGGACTCTCAATAGTCCCAGATCGGCTTTTGTCTACATCACAAGTATGTAATAAATGATTTGACGGGCTGCTTGAAGGACAGCCTACGGATTTAGGGGGGCGTCTTTCCCCATCAGGACAGGGGGCATCTTACCCCAAGGTACCGAAGTAACATTAAATCAGTGCAATTTGTTAGCCATGAAACTACACCCTGAAACAAACTGTTTGGGCCACAGTACACGCATGCTAATGTATCACGACTATAGCAAGGGACGCAAAAATTATCTACCTTCTTTGATATTTACAATGTTTTGACACCAAAATATTTTTTGAAAGCAGCAAAGAAAAAACATGCAATCATCAGCCAGCCGTTGCCCAACTGAGCTTCGCAAATTTTTGTGCAGTTAACAAGATAGGCTTCCGCTTTACGCTAAGAACATTAATTTCCAGGTTCGATTCTTTGTTTCGCTGCTAGAGGGGGTGGGGCGTCTTTCCCACCCTGGGCATCTTACCCCACTCTCCCCTACAGTATCACAATTACACAGCAAACAGTCGCAACAGTGCCAGTGACAACGCTACGACAGTCACATTCGGGCTGTACTAGCGCACACGATTCAACGGCTGATTGGACCAATGGGCGGTAACATCAGCCAACTGTTTGGACCAATCAGCGTTCACATCAGCCCAGTACGGACCAATCAGCGTTCACATCAGCCCAGTACCGACTAATCAGCGTTCACATCAGCCTAGTACGGACCAATCAGTGCTGAGGCCGGACCCGTCAGGACCAATGAGTGCCGAATGACTGGCCCTGTCAGGGTTATTTTGTGCCAAGCCCAGCCTAGTTTGGACCGATGCAATTGGTGCAACCAGCCTAGTGCCTAAAAAGGCTAACATTTTAAATAACAGACAGTGACGTATCTTACCCTATACCTACGTCATACGAAACGAATCATATGATGACATCACTTTTACTAGGTAACTCAAGAGACAAAAGATAAATGTGGGGTACATATGTTTCGCTACGTTCAAGTGTAATCTTGTAGTGCCACCTATTTCTATTTCAAATACAAGTCAATCAGATGTTTATACAAATGCATCCCAATAATGCAATGAATCGCCAGTAGAACGTGTGTCTTCAGCCCTGCCTTGGTATTTTGTAAGGGATGGATAACGTTATGACGCGCTATAACCAAGCATAAGGTAGTGTTAATCGGTGTTTTTTCGTTTACACTCTGTTTTGGTAATAATATTACTTTGAACTAAGGTTATTTTACATAACAAAGTTAACTGTTGGTATTAGGCTATTAGCTACTGAAATATCAGTACCTACCTTCGTGCAAGCACACTGATCTAAGATAATGTTTATATGATCAACAAAGCGTGGCGCTGACTAAGAAACACGTGCATGAATCGGAGATAATAGATCTGGGACTGATTCAGGCGTCTTGATCTCGAGCGTGATGGGATCATACATAGGGAACTGTATGTACATACAGTTCCCTAAATTTCTCAACAGATCGATTTGGATCAATTTCTGCTTTTGAGAGATACGATGAACTAATTTACCGGGATGCATTGATTATTTGTTATGACACAAAATGTGACTTTTGTCATTATCACTTATGTAGTTAACCCTTATGGATTATAGGTACATAATACCTATTCTTATAGGTATACGTGGCAATTTGCAACGGTTGCTGATTTAGGAAGCTAACGTAATCTCAGGTGACGATACACAGCTTTGTGGCACTCTTCGAATGGAATGTTTTTTGGGTTAATAGTTTTATAGGGTAAGTGCTTTGGGATCCACACAGGTCACTGATCGTCACTTTCGTCCCTTGATTTGCCACCAAAATTCCTCAGATCATAGATCAAGAATAGAGGTTCTTCGTGGGGTCTAATGTAATCATTCACTGATTTTAACCTGCCGTTTACTGAAGACCCATTGAGATTACAGATCTATCACTCGTATCCATGCACATGTCTGGTGCCAACAGTAAATCACACATAGTTTCATTATCAATGTCTCTCCGGGATTCGGCGCGTAAGTCGTCAGGGAATGTAACCGTTTATAAGGAACCGGGCAGCTTTTATTTCTTGGAGTCCAGATGCCAACGAGTGATAGGATGCGGGCAGATATTGACGGTTGATTTTGACGCCAATTATCTGGTTGGTTTTGTTGGTATACTCTAGGTAAGCTGCGCACTGAACCGCAATAATCCAAGTATTTGCATGGGACATTATATATCGCTCTGAAGTTTTGTCATGTCAGTAGCTCGCTACCGTTGAATAGGTCTCCAATTCAGGGGCGGATCCAGGAAAACTCCAAGGGGAGGGTCATGAATCGAAGTGGTGCCCCTACCTATACCCAAAATTAAAAACTCAACGGATTTCGTCTACTTCATTTTGGTGGTGCCCCCATTTTCAGTTTTTTTTTTATTTTTTATTTTTAGTCAGTATCTTAACTCTTAGCCACAACCACATTTACCAATTGTAAGCAAGTATATATGAATGTGCTATGTGTATATATGTTGTGGACGCTGAGTAGTGAGTACTTACCGGGAACGTTATCAGGTAAGCAAATCGTTGTCAGTCCGACGAACTTGACCCTGGCGTCTAAAGGGTCTGTCCTTGACACTTCAGGCTTGTCAGGGGCACCAAAGTTCTTCCAGGGACACCACAAACCTG